GTACATAATCAGTTTCCAACGTTTCTGTCCTTCAGTGTTGATCATCCCCTCTGTAGCAATGAATTAATTTGTGTTTCTCTCTGTTTCAGTAGTTCAAATGAACTGTTGAAATGAGGTGCTGTGCTCACACAGAATCATAGAATGGCTTGTGTTGAAAGGGACCTTACAAATCATCTAATTCCAGCCCCACCTCATGAGCAGGGACACCTCCCACTGGACCAAGTTGCACTATGCCCCATCCAGCCTGGCCTTGAACACTTCCAGGGATGGGGCATCCACAGCTTCCCCTGGCAATGTGTGCCAGTGTCTCACTATCCTCACAGTAAATAATTTCTTCCTCACGTCTAACCTAAATCTACCTTCTTTCAGTGTGTAACAGTCCTCCCTCATCTTGCCACTCCATACGCTTTCCTCCTCAGCTTTCCTGTAGGCCCTTTCAGGTACTAGAAGACTGCTATAAGGTCTCCCTGGAGTCTTCACTTATCTATGAGAACCCTAACTCTCTCAGCCTGTCTTCACAGGAGATCTGCTCCAGATCATCTTCATGGCCCTCCTCTGAATTCAGTCCAACAGCTTCATGTCTTTCTTCTATTGGGTGCTCCAGAATTGAACACAGTGCTCCAGGTGGGGTCTCACAAGAGTGCAGTAGAAGGTAAGAAGTGCCTCCCTGGACCTGCTGGCCACACTTGTTTTGATGGAGCCTGACATACAGTTGGCTTTCTGGACTGCAAGTGTACATTGCTGGCTCATGTTGAGATTCTTTCATGGTGACCTTCTCTCATGATGAGCTTGGTGGGTGGACTGTTAGATGAATAAGGAATTGGCTGGATGGTCACATCCAGAGGGTAGCAGTCAATGGACAAGTGATGTCCCTCAGGTGTCCAGTCTGGAACCGGTACTGTTTAATATCTTCATTAGTGACACAGACAGTTGGGATCAAGGGCACTCTCAGCAAGTTTGCCAATGAACCAAAGCTGACTGATGCAGTCGACATACCAGAGGGAGGCAATGTCATCCAGATGGACCTGGACAAGCTCAAGAAGTGGGCCCATGTGAATTTCATGAGGTTCAACAAGGCCAAATGTGAGGTAGAGGCAACCCTCATTATCAGTACAGGCTGGGGTGTGAGGTGATACAGAGCAGCACTATGGAAAGGGACTTGGGAGTACTAGTGGATGAAAAGCTGGACATGAGCAAACAATGTGCACATTCAGCCTCAAGGGCCAACTGCATCCTGGGCTACATCAAAAGAAGCATGTTCAGCAGTTTGAGAGAAGTGATTCTGTTTCTCTACTCTGTTCTTGTGAGACCTCACCTGGAGTACTGTGTTCAGCTCTGGAGCCCTCAACACATCAAGGACATGAAGCTGTTGGAGCAGGTCCAGAGAAGGGCCATGAAGATGATCAGAGAGCTGGAGCACCTCTACTATGAAGACAGGCTGAGAGAGTTGGGGTCATTCAGCCTGAAGTGAAAGCTTCAGGGAGATGATATAGCAGCCTTCTAGTACCTGAAGGGGGCCTACAGGAAAGCTGGGGAGGGGTTTTTCACCAGAGAGGGCAAGGGGCAATGGTTTTAAATTAGAGCAGGGAAAATTTAAATTAGATATTAGGAAGAAGTTCTTTAATATAAGGGTGGAGAGACAATGGAACCAGAGATGTGGTGCATGCCCCATTCCTGGAGACTTTTCAAGTTCAGGCTTGACAGGGCTCTGAGCAGCCTGATATAATTAAACATGTCCATGCTCACAGCAGGGGGGGGTGGACTAGATGACTTTTAAAGCCTCATTTCAACCCAAGTATGGGGTTCTATGAATTCTATAATTCTACAATTCTCATCAACCAACACCCTCGAGTTCTCCTCAGGGCTATTCATATTTCTCGTAACTCCTTTGGTAGTATTTTTCTCTACATATTATCTATAGTTATAGTTTAATTTATTTTATAGGGCTGGTAATGAACACACAGAGGCCAGACATTTGTTTCAAGCTTGTCTTAGATCTAATATCTGTACACCAAAGTACATGTCCACAGGCACTGTGGTTCTCCACTGAGGTTGATGCTCAAACAGACCTTAACCCCTAGTCTAGCTCTTAGACCAAAAGATCTTCCTCTGAATCATCTTAGGCTGTTTACTGGGTGAGGAAGAGCTTTAAGACCAAGAGCAAATATTTTGTTTTTTCTTATCTGAAACAGTTGCTCAGCCTCTACATCAATATTAATGGTCCTTCATGTAGGCAGCATTCAGGCTGGGGGAAACTTCATTATGGAGAACCTGAAACATGCCGTGTGGCACTTTTCTTCAACATACCATTGCACTGTCAGATGAGATTGCTAACAATTCATGACCATCCACAGAGTTTTCTGTTGTTTGCCAAGAATTTGCATTTTTATAGCAATCGTACAGGCATATGCTAAATCATCATATTCACATAGCAAGCTATGTATTGTTTATCCTATATGATAGCTATTAGAAGGAATAATGTCAGTTCCTGGCTCACACTGCACAAAGCTACTCAAAAAAGAAGAAGAAATGGTCCTGATGTGATTTTTTATTTTTTGTATGAAACATGGTGAAGTTGAAGAAACTATTATCTTATGAAAAAAATGTGAACTGTTTTGTCCCACTGGATATTGAAAGTTAATAGAATCAAATTTAATTAGTGCAAACCAAGGTATGTAGGAAAGTAATAATTTATTAAAGTATCAATATTCTTTGGAGGAGTCAAACGTGGAAATAAATTTTGATATGGTGTCCAGTTCTGGGCTCCCCAGTTCACGAGAGACAGAGATTTACTTGAGAGAGTCTAACAGAGGTTACGAGGATGATTAAGGGACTGGGCCTTACAAGGAAAGGCTAAGAGACCTGGGGCTGTTCAGTCTAGAGAAGAGAAGACATGTTGCTCATGTTTACAAATATCTGAAGGGTGGGTGTCAAGAAGGAGGGTCAATTTTTTTTTTCAGTCATGCCCTGTGATAGGAGGAGGGGCAATGGATGCAAACAAGAGCACAGGAAGTTCCGCCTCAACATGAGGAAAAACTTCTTTACTGTGAAGGTGACAGAGCACTGGAACAGGCTGCCCAGAGAGGTTGTGGGGTCTCCTGGAGATTTTCAAGACCTGTCTGGATGCATTTGTTTGTGGCCTCTCTAAGATTTAGTCCTGCTCTGACTGAGGGGGTGGACTTGATGATCTCCAGAGGTCTCTTCAAACCCCTAACACTCTGATTCTATGATTCTATAATCATAAGATACGAAGTATTATTTGATAATAGATAAAATTGCATCAAACTTGAACTTAAGTAGTAAATTTCATACTCAGAATTTGACCATTACTTATTTTTGTTTGCATCTAATCAGTTTGTAGTTCTTCCTGCATATTTCTCCCTTTAGATTCATAATTAAATATATATTCCAAATGCAAAGATTTGGGCTTTCATAAAAATGTAGGTAAAACTTAATGTACATTTATTTTATACATGACAAGAATTTTAATGAAAACCTCACTTGCTTTTCTTAAAAGATGCCAGTGGTACATAAAGGCCAAAATGAAATCTGAAGAGAAAAGAAGGGCTCAGTTGCAAAATGGAGATTGTAAGTATTTAAACACTGTGTAACATAATATCTGTATCATGTTTTAGATTAAGCATGTTCATTGTTTTCTGTACAGATTTTATTCTTGATGTTTTAATCTGAGCTTTTGAATAGTTTATTATTGTCTGCACTGTCAAAGGTGTTAATTTTTTTATATGTCCTCTCGAACAATTTCACTTAATTCGCTCTAGTTAATAAGGTTTTTTTGGTATTCTCTTAATAATATTTGTCAGTGTTTCAGGTATATTTCTTTGAATTCTCAACTGGTCTGTACCATATTTAATTTCTGCCTCAAAATTCGTCATTTCATGACTATGTGCCTTATTTGTATCCGACTCTCCTTGGCTTTAGGAATCTACACTTTCAGCCACCCAAGAAATAAAAGAGTGGAATGGGTTGCCTTCCTTCATGTTACTGCTCACTGATCAGTACAGTGAGAGTAAATCCTAGCAATCTCTCATGGGCAATGTATTTATTTGGTTTAATATAGCTGCTTAGTTTAAAATAATCGCTTCACTGTCTTATTTTAGATTACCTATTTGAAGTTTTTATTTATTCAAAGGGTGTCATCCAAAGGGTATTATTGTATTTTTTGTAATTTTTTTATAACATCCCTGGAAATAATATGATCAAGACAGAAGCTAAGTCACCAGAAGGAGAACCTTTTTTCAGATGACAACACTATATCCAACCAAGTGGCTCTTTCTGTCAAGTAAAAGAGCACATTTCCTCGTGAAAGATACTTCCTAGGAAGATTTGTTTGTCATTTGTTTCCAGAGGTGGTCAGAAAGAAAAGAAGACAAAAAACTTCCCGTTGGAGAGCTTGATAAATGCCTCTGAGACCATGGATTTAAGAACAGCCTCACTCCATGCCTTACAGGCCAGGGTAAATGATAACAGCATTTCATGTTGACACAGAGGCTTCTCATTCATTTGCAGTTATCCCAGTATCAGACTTGAAGGGCAAGTCTACTCATGTATGTACTCCACAGAACCAAGGATAAAGAGGAATTACTGTGATTTACCCCAGCACCTAGGACTGTATTTCCAGCAGTACTCCCTCCTTTACCTTGAGCACTCAGCACCTCTGTAAGAAGCACCTCCTTCATGCTAGCAGCAATCTTTATCTGACTACTGACTATTATAGATTTGGTATCCAGTATCTCAACTTGAAACAATATGTGCTGCTGCACAGTCTCTGCTGGGATCAATAGAAGGGTGATCTCTCCTGAGAACAGTTGAAGCTGTTTAATTGAAAGCTTTAAAATAAATCACAACCCCCACTGGTTAGTATCATCTCTTCCTGTTTCCAGGTTTGTCACATCCACACTTTGCATCCTGTACTTCTGCTGTGTGCGTAAGAAAGCCATCTCCTCTTGATCCTTCCTCTCTCCCTTGGGAGCTTAGTGTGAGTCAAAGGAAGATTTCTGGAAATACACCCTTTGAAGGGAGTTGGAAAGGAATCTGTGATCTTGCTTGATAGTTTGACAACCCATGATGTCTGGTGTCCTCCCATTTCTGTACAATGTGTGAACTCTGTCAGCAATGGTCCAAAGGGTTGTTGCATACTACTTAATGAATCCCAACCACATTAATGTACCCTGACCATGTGTTCTTCACTTAATGCCTTTAGGCTCGTCAGATAATGAGCTGCTTTAGACTCAGCTACTAAATGATAAGAGGAAGAAAGCAGAGAGATACTTAATTATTTTGAAAGAGATTCTCTGGACCCAGCTACAGTACTCTCCTCTTATCCTTGTAACTCAATGCATTATCTACATAAACTTTGGTTAATTAATTGAAAGTTTTCCAGAACTTAATGACCACATGGCAGCAGCCTAAAAAAATTCCCATCCAGATACTTCAAGAGAATAAACACAAGTTCTTGGGCTATACCATACTTCAGTACATGAGAGTTATTAGCTACGCCAGAAAATTATGGCTTGTTGCAGCCTGCCAAATAAATCTGGCATGAACCCACTATTTCCACAGCCATCTCCAAGGAAGCAAACAGAAATTATCAAAGCCTCGTAAATGGATCGGATATTTCTGTACTTGTCTTGCACCTGGCTTCTGGTTGTTCAAGCTGATCAGAAGAGAACAAAGCAGCACAGTCCTCCAGGACCTGTCCTCAGAGAAAAGGATCTCAAAGATTGGACCCGTTTGACAAAGGGAATGTTCAGCCATCCACCCATTAATGAAAAGAAGTAATTAGAAAGAACTCTTTGGAAAAGTGAAGGGCAGGTTGCCTAACTTGCCTAAGGAGCAGCAAAGGGGAATATAAACTGCTTTGGCACTAATCACTGTTAGTCTTCAGGATCTGCTTTTCTCTGTATCTGTGAGTCCTCACTTGGTGTCTCTGTAGACACCCTGTCAAGTGACCAACACAGAGCTCATGTTTTCTCTCATGACTTGCTGCATTTTCCAGATTTACCAGCTGTACTTGAATCATTTGTTAAGGATGTGAACTAAGTGCAGAGCCTAAGTCCAAGTAGCTGCTTCAAACTAAAATAATAAATAGTGTTTGGATAGGAAATCCTTAAAAAAAAAAACAAAAGTCAAGTGTACTTTATCTTAGCCAAAATAGCATATTCCTTAGAACTTAGCTAAGGCTGGTTTTTTTTCCCTAAGAAAAATTTCCAAAACCTTTATTGTCCTCTTAATTTTCCTGCCTGGAATGCTTTACTTCATGAGATGTTTGTGTTCAGCTGGGACGGAGATAAAACAGCACAAGTGTTTGACACTATCTTATCAGTTGAATGCCAAAGACAGATTTTTCTAAAGGCCTTAGGCTGAAAGGATATTTGATGTAACAATGCACTGCAACAGTCCTAAAGAAGTATTCATGTTTTTAGACACCTAGAACATCTCAGGAGATTCAAGCAGGGTCCAGCAGGGCCTCACTCACAGTTTCAGCAGTACTTTTTAATGCTTTTGCTACTGTTGGCAGAAGCTTATCCTCTGCCTATGGAGTTGTGACACCTAGCTCTTTTATGTCGCAGAAACCTCACCTAAAAAAGCCATTTGAAAGCTAAGAGAAATTGCTTAAGTCTGTGCCCAGTCAATCTTCCTAGGCCCTGGTGCTGCCAGCAAATGGGGACAACTCATGTCCATTCTGTAGTTGGTTTCAGTGAAATCAGTAGCAAGCATTAATAATTTTGTGTCATTACCCTCTTTTCTTGGTTTCTGGATCTTTAAATGTGGAAGTTGTATTGTATTATTTCCAATCCTTTTAACTGTATAGTCAACTAGGGGGAAAAAAAAAAATTAAAAAGATAAAACCATGTTGTTATTGTGCGTGAATGTCAAAGAATGCTTGAATCCTGGTATTCTCTCTTTTTTTACAGTACGTTTCCCAGGAATAAAAACATATATTGATCCAGATACATATGAAGACCCATCTCTTGCTGTCCATGAGTTTGCAAAGGAGATAGATCCTTCAAGAATTCGTATTGAGAGAGTTATTGGGGCAGGTAAAAATACACCCACTTAAAAAAGTCTACACATGGCTAGGCTCCTTTTTTCTAGTCACTATGATAATGCAAGTTGTCAAGAGTAGTACAAAATGTGACCATATTTCTCTGATAAAACCAGTTTACTCTCAAGTGAAGTATTATATATAGCTAATATTCCAAATGTGAGTATATTCAAATATGGAGCTCTTGAGAGGCAGATTCTCCAAAGAAATAGGTTTATCCCAAACCTTTTTTAAGGCTTTATCAATTTTTGGGGTGGGGTTGGGTTTTGGGATTGCTTTGGGTTTTGGTTTTGGTTTTTCTTTGTTCTAAATGTACTCAAAACACTGGGTCACTCAGCATTTGCCATAGTTAGTGACACAAGTCCTCTTTCACTGAGGTCCTGATTAGGGCAGAATCTCTTTCTGGGGGGAGATGAGATCACTATTAACATGTTTGTCCACTTTTGCTTAACAGCACTGTCCCCTCTTCTTGCTAAGGCTACTCCTTGTAGGATTTTTCTAGTTTTGGGAAGTGGAAAATGTAAC